GTACTTAGAAAAATACCTCACGCAGTAATTCTATCACTAATCGAACTTGCAATTAGTAACACTTGAAGTTTACCCATATCAGAGGGCTAAATACTATATAGTATACTGATGAAGTGATATGTACTATATCGTATATAGTATATACTATATGTACTATTTATATATATAGTACATCATCGCACCCTCATACTATATAGTATGAGGGTGTCTAGGGGTATGCTCGTTGCCTTTTTATGCACAGGTTGAGACGAGGAGCGGACGAGTAGCGGAGCGCACGTTTGATTTAAACAGGTGTATTGAACACTTTCCTTTCCAACTTGGTTTCCTCATTCACTTGGTCATTCACCGCAATGGCACCAAGCAAGAAGCAGAGAAGCAGCAAAAAAAGAAGGCAACAACCGAGGTGACGCAGCCAGCGAGTTACGAGGAATAACTATCTAATCATGCTTGATTTTGACTTTGTCAAGAACCCGAAGAAAACGAAGCAACAAGCACCTGCGCGAATGAAAGAAATAGCACATCGGACCCGCACTTTCTTCCAGTAAATGCCGCGAAGCTGACGCAGTCGTTGATCGGACTGAGTGACGAGCAGCGCCAAGTTCTTGAGAAAGAGCTTAACCGAACTGATGAAGATCCTCTTCTGGTCCTCCGCTTCAATCCGAATTGGCGAGGTCATGTTGCTGTCGGTACAGTTTGTGACGCGATAGCAACATTTGGAATTAGGGGCGGCGCACGTTGAGACAGCGGTGAAGGCTGCCACAGATGGATTTTTAACTTCGACCATTATCAAGATATTGGACCATGCAAGACTGCAATCAAGTTAGCTCACCGTGAAGCATTCGCATCCTCTCCAGATACGGTCACTGATGCTGTGGCCGCCGGCGCTGTCAGAGCAAATCTTCGTACAGAGTCGCTGGCTTATGCAGTCGTCATTAACAAGATCGCTATTCGTCAAGATGATGCAGGAATTCTCGAGTTTCTACTTGTAGCTCTCATAATATT